TCACAATCGCTGTTCTGTTCTGTCGCACAGCTCGTCATTTCAGAATTTTTGAACATGTTGGTGTTTTTCTATATTTCTCCTTCTCTCCACAGCTCAATACACAGCTCTTATTCTTGAGACGTGTGACATAGCAGTTTATGACATTCTATCACTGGGCTGGCAGGCTCATGTGAGTGGTTTCAAGTCATTTTTTTTTTTGTTTTTGTGTGGATGGAGATATTTTTGAAAATGCTGTTTGTGTGGAAGGACCTTTTTTTTTTAAAACAGTGTAGTAAAAACTACCTTTACAAAAATATTCATATCTGTAGAATTAAACACAACGGCATAAGCAGTGAGAATCTGAATTGACTCAAAGAGACCATTAAGCTTGAATACATGTTTCTGAAAAAAAACAAAAAAAAAACTGCAGTATCCAGGAGGAATTAGTCAGGAATCAGCACTGTGATCAAATTACACAAGATTTACCCAAGATTAGGACCTGCTTCTTCACTTCAGAAGTGGAGAAATGCTGTTAAGTACCTACAGGCATTAAATAAAATTACCAATTATTCATACTTTATATGTGATATTGTTCCCATAAGACTAACATTAACCTAATTACAAAGCAATCATTGATTTATGCTGGGGCTTAAAAAAAAAAAAAAAAAAAAAAAAAAAACCTTTCCAATTATCCAGGCAAAAGTCATCATTGGCAACATCTGCACATGGCACTCTTGCTAATTAACAGCTAGTATGTATGTTTTAGATAATACCACAAGGAATATTAGCCTTGCCCTCAGTGCATGCAATTCTATTGCTGTGATAGTATTATAGATGTAGAGCATACAGACTCTTAAATTCCCTAAACAATTAGCATGATTTGCATGTAGGACACATTAGAGGTATTACACAGATAGGTGTGATGGCCAGCTGTTGTCATGCCTTCTGTTTGTGTACTGTTATCATGGGATAAGTGTGCATTAGCATACAAATTAGCATTAGTACAGAGTCAGTGTTTGAGAGAGAAACTCTGATGTATGAAGTATGCCTATGGCTTTACAACAACAAATAAAAGCGTAAAGTAAGCGACCCCACTTTGCTCCTGGTCAGAGTGCCATGACAGCCTAAAGCAATGGTCAGTTTGGACTTTTGTCGCATTAAAGTGGAGCAGATATGAGGCAATTTTGTTGCAAATGTGATTTTGGAGAGAAAGTAGTGGTTCAGTCAACAGCTAATGTTAGCTAGATTGTTAGTTCTTGTGCAGCAGTAAGCAACAAGAATAGCAAGGCAAAAGTCTGGGGTAAGCATTACATGATAATTAGTGCGGGTATTTTTTAAGAGATAAAACCTGCCCTCTTGCTCTCTATTGGCTTCACAGAGTTAAAATTATTCTAGATGAACTTAGTTCAAAGTAAAAAAAATCGAAGAGCTGCCAAAAGTGCAATTTTGGACAGAATATTGTATGCAGTGATAGCAAGCGTGTTTGAAATGGATCACCATTTGAGTCAAGAAATATCTCTGACATTCACATCTGCAGTACAAACTTGTGGTAAATTTAGGACAGGCAGCTGTTAAATAAGGAAGGAAACAGTCTGGAGGTGTGCTGTTATAGGAAAATAATCAATGATGGAGTGGTATGATGCGGTACAGTGCAAAGTGCGGTTACTGATTCTCTTTCTATAACAGCTCATCTCAATGAGTTTTATTCCTCTTATACCACAGCAATTTGCCTATGATTCCAGTTACTTATTTTAAAAAAACCAACATATTGTACATTTTATCCATTTATAAGTCACACTTAATGTTGTGGAACATCGGTGAAACAAAATAGTTCCTCTTATCACTTACACTATAACAGCTATTGACAGTCATTCACTCATCAGTCTCTCTTTGCTCTCTCTCTCTCTTGAAGTTATTAAGACAAAAAAACACAGCTTTTCATGTTACAGAGAAACTAGAAAGTGCAAATCCCTCCATTCTGAAGACTTTCCTATGTTTGAAAACTTACGTTACAGCTTTACCTCTGTAAAAAGCACTGACACTGGAGACTCCTTCCAAAAATGTTAAATAAACATCTCCTTACAGAAAATGTCAGCATGTCAATAAATACTTGTTTTTAAAATCTGTTTGTATGGAGTGTCCACTGTACTGCCGGTGTGTTATACAGTAATATATTAGAACGAGTGCAATAATATAAATGTGTGAGTTGCATTACAGGCAGAAGTACAGTCAGAACTGCTATTTTAGAAAATTAATCAACACTTTATGACCAATCAGAATTAATTCAGTAGCACTATGTTATAATGTGGAATTATTCTGTTTTTCTGTGGATTTTCTGTGGATTATAGTATGACCGAAAGTCAGATATTGTTTGTAAAATGATTCATCATTGGAAAAACACTAATGTGCTGAAGGCAGTGGAAAATGTTTATAGAGTAAGCAATGCTGATTATTAATTAGTCAATAATACCACACAAGCACATACACAGGAATGGACTTCAGTCTTGTAGTATTTGCTTAACTGGCAAACGTTTCTTTCTGGTTCTTCAGCGAGAGATTTTCAGACAGTTCTTATCAAAGTATGACGGATCAAAGGGCAAAAAAAGGGTTTCTTTTCCCTTTGTAAACCCAAAGCTGCACCATGCTCTGTTTAAGGACAGATTCTGAAGATATCCCTCCTGCAGGATAGCGACAAGATGCATGAAATCAGCAGCTGGGATTTTCAATGGATATTTATATTTCCTGTGCATCCTGTGTCAGTAGATTATACGGCGCTCAAGTCTCCTTCAATTTTACCGCATGGCTGCTCAAGCCTGGAGCCATGAGAGTGGGAATGAATGCATCATACATAGAGATAGAGAGAGAAAGCAGCGAGCAACAAAAGCACAACAGTCTAATTTAATATGAAGTCTAATTGAGCTGCAACCTTGCCCATATTAATAATGGATTTACTCTGAAATCTTTATTACATCTCGACAGAGGCAAACCCTTATTTCTAGCTCCTATTGCTTTTTCTTTATTTTCTGGTTACCGATATCTGACATTTTCCTATGCTTGTCTTCTCTTCTATGCGACCTTGTGGATATTCTCCATTTAAAAAGACAAATATACTAACGTTCAGGAGGACTATTCAGTTTTACAAAACAGTTAGGAGATTGGCTACAACGAATGTGTGTATGTGAAAGGTGGATTTCACCTTGTGGAAAAAATTATATGTGAGATTAAGTGAATGATTTAGGGGAAGAAATCATGTGAAAATAAATGAATTATTTGGGGGAAGATCACATGAAAATAAATGAATCGTGGAAAAATCACATTTGAAAATGAATCATGCAGAAGAATCACTGTGAAAAATAATGAATCATGTGGAAAAAATCACATGTGGAAAAATTGAATCATGTGGGAAAATCACATGTGACAAAAAAAAACGAATCATGTGGAAAAATCACA